CCCCAAAACCCCAAAACCCCAAAACCCCAAAACCCCAATTGGCGTGTGCAAAATTGAACTAGTAGTATTAATCTTCTTTTGGCTTCTTTGTTCTGAAAGAGAGTGCCATTCTTTGGAATGTAGCATCTGGGATACTGAAGTATAAGAATTGGAATAGAGCATGCTTCCAGTGTCCATTCGTCCATTCATCATGGCCGAGGTTCTTCAATGCTCCCTCAACGCAATCATCGGAAATGATAGTGAATCCGGTTGCTAAAATCAAGTTATGAATGCGAGTAAAGAATTTTACGTTTCTTGTTATTCAACATGTTGGTGCTAACCCATCCTGGTCTGAGACTCACTATAATTGAGAAAGAATGGCTTACTGATATCAATCTTGCCTTCGTAATCCCATTGTGCAGCTCTTGACAAGAAGTCGTTGAATCCTTTTGTTGCAGAATACAGGGGGCTGAAAGAGATTGGCTTGCCACCAGCAACACTGCTAACATTGATAATTCCAGATTTGTTCTGTCTCTTAGCAAAGATTGGAGCAAAATGCTCTTGAAGAATTGTTTGTCCACAACAGTTTGTGATCACAGTGTTCAAGCTATGCTTGACTTGGTCCTTAGGATCCTCTGCTCTAGCTGACATACCAACATTGTTGATTAGGAAGGAGATATCTAAATCTTTGGTCTCTTTGAAGATAACGTCATAGAACTTCTCTTCGTAGGATTTTCCAAAATCGAGAGCTAAGTACTTGACTTTTACAGAGTATTTTTGTTCTATTTCTTTAGCAATAGCTGCTAGCTTGGACTCTGTTCTTGAGATAAGGAAGAGGTTGAATCCTTCTTGAGCTATCTTGTAGGCGAATGATTTTCCAATACCATCTGAGCTACCTGTGATCAAAGCCCATGAGCCAGCACCATATCTTGCTTTTAAGTCATGACTCTTTCTAAAGAAGTGTCTGTAAATTCCTGCTCCAGGAATGTAAACAAAGCAGTAGAGAAGGACTAGTCCTCCCAAGATTTCTAAAAATGACATCTTTGGATATTAATTGTAACAAGTAATTTCAATAATTGCCAGCTAAACTGGGGTTTTGGGGTTTTGGGGTTTTGGGGG